GTGTGTGTCTCGTGTCTATATATATATATATATATATATATAGCAGTTTTACAATTTATTTTATATTTATATTTGCGCATTAAACAAATTTAATGCTGACGGCTAGATAGTAATACGTTATTAATACATTAACTCTTTTTCATTTAGCTTCTAAATATGAAAACATGATAAGTTTAACGTATAATCTTTGGTTTCCAATTAAACATTCAAAATAATAATACGAGAGGGCGTTAATATTAAGAAAATTATAAATTCACATTTACTCTTTTATATTTGTATAAACACAAGTTACTGCAGATGCTTAAAATAATTATTAATATATTAGTTATTTAAAAACAATTTTTCATAGTGCATGACTTTAAAAGGTTTTGTAGAACAAAGAAAATCATCATTAAACTTAAATTTACTTTGTATTAATAACTTCAATATAAGTAAGCCTAATATCTATGCTTTATAAGAAAGATACAACTTGACTTCGATTCACCTAAGTTACTGTAAGTCGCTTTGTACTTAGAAAGTAATTTGACTAGATAGCTATTTCATACAGGGAAGAAATATTGTGAGAACTTAAGTGATGAACAAAAAGTAATGAATATTTTTACAACCTGGCAATAATCCTACTGTATGGATAAAGCGAGGATTTAACTTACTGTGGATATTAATAGTTATGCTACGTCTCTGGTCGTTTGTTAATTTCCGGTATAAATGCTTCCCGAGAACTTCAGCGATACAAGTCCTTTCTTAAATAAAACTAGTTTATTCCTTCTCGATACAACTTTGCAATACACAGAATTTCCACGGTCACTTTAACTTAAACACACGCTATAATATACTACGATTCACGCATTTTACTTACGGCCACTACCGCTCGCTTGACTCAATTATCTGTCTTTATATCTGTCTACCTGCAAATATCTCTCCGCTTTATTTGCCGGGCTTATATACTAAAATAGAGGACGCCTAGAAAAGACTAGAGTTGCCAGGAAAAGTCAAGATCCTTCGAAAATCTCATGACGTGTTACCAGCGTCACGTGATTTCCGCTGTCGTAACACTGCCCCTTCCTTAGTATTGTTCATCCCGAACATTAGCCACTTACATTAAACCAATAGATAATTAACAATAACTTAATTAAATGTACAGAACTTACAAACACCAAATTAAATTCAACAAAGTCTCTTAATTTTACGGAACGTATCTTCTTCCGTACTGGTCTCCGTCTCGTTGGCTTCTGCTTCACGTGGGGTTCATCTGCTCCATCAGGAAATGTCCTATTATCGGTAACAGTCACATCAGTGGTAGTAACTTCATCAAGAGCTTCACCGTTTCCCTTCTCAAAATGGTGTACAGTTTCTTCTTCGACAGCGGCTTTTTTAGGTGACACATCTTCAGCAGCGTCATCTGTTCCATTGTTCACTTTGTTCCAACTGAAATGTCCTGGACCGTGATAACACCAAAGCCACCACCTTTGGTTTACCTCGCCGACCACATTTTATTCGGAAAGTCACGTCTGAGAGACGACCCACTATGTTATATGGGCCTTCCCATGAAGAAGACAATGTTACGTCTCCGTTTGTTAATTAACTTTCCGTAACTTCGTTCCGACGAAACTTTAGCGACACAAGTCTTTACTTAATAAAACTGGTTTATTCTTCCCGAATATAACTTTACGATACACTTAATTTCAACAAATCGTCGCTAAAACAAACGACCACAACAACGAAACGTGCTCAATAATACTCTCTGACTGCAGA